CCACGACGACGAGGAACGGCGAATCGCCGTTTCTATCGCCGTTTCTATCGCCGTGGATCTGTGTTCTGAGTTTTAGTATACGGTAAGAGGAGATGAGGAGAAGAGGAGAGGAAGAGAGGAGGAAGATCACGGCGACGACAAAGGATGCAAATCGTCGTCAATCGTCGCAATCGGAGAAAGAGAACGAGAAGAAAAAAAAATATCGCACAAATGAATCGAGATCTGATATTTTTCGGATCTCTTTGCGACAAAAAAAAATTTTGGTCCAACCAAAAAGCGACACGTGTCAAGTGAGACGGATCAGAAGTATCATTGGGCTGATACGTTTCAAACCCAAAGATACCCAAACCCAATTTTTTTAATACACTTTAATGGATTGATACACATCAAAGATGATGGATAAGGATGCTCTAAACCCTATGGAGTTTTGTTGTTTGGACACAAATAATCGAAAGAAACGCATTTAATCGAGTTATGGCACAAAGCCCATTTGCTATATTCAAACTACAAAGTCTCTGAAACTTTGGTCTTTGTTAGTAAAAAAACAAAAAATTTATTTTGCAAATGATGGAACTTATAATTTGATAGTTCGAGACTTCGAGTAGATATATATTAATAAGTCACTGTATTTAGTGATTTCTTTACTTTATGCTAGATACTTGCATGAAAATGATAACAATACAACACACTGAATTAATACATATTATATTTTATATAAATAAAATGAGTTATGTGAAGTAGCTTAAATTGATTTCTTGTTTGTTATGAACTATATGTCTATATATATCATGGTTCATTATTTTGTCTTGTTTTGGTATTGACTTAAGAATTCAGAAACTGATTTATATTAAACAAGCTTACAATTATCCGTGAATTTGAAAAGTCTAACTTAAGTTCACAAAATTAGAAGAAACAAAAACTGAAGGTATCTTTTACGCATAGATATATGTTCTCAAACACTTTTCATCCCTGAGAGTTCACTTGGATTTCCATTTTAACTAATTCTCCTTAGATGGTTGGGTTTTTTGTTTTCAAAGTAAAACTAAAATAATCGATGTCAAAAAGTAAAAATTAAAAGAAGAAATTTGGAAAATTACCTCTTTTGTGTTTTCAAATTTGAAAAATACACTTTTATTTTTAATTTTTTAAAATTACACGTATAGACTATTAATATACTCAATCGACCTTGATCAGACTTGAATCAAATATATATATATTTGATATTATTAATCTCTATTTTATCCCATAATAA